ACATTTAAGTGAGAAAACAAATTCATTTTTTATTATAAAAGTTTAAAGAGAGTTGGGAAAATGTGTCCCATCTGTTCAGGACATCATCTGCCTTTTTAAAATGTTATTAAAGTTGTTTGCTGTAACAGCATGTAAAGAATATATCTCAACATCAAGATAACTCAAATGTTTGACTACCAAAATTCTTTCCAAAATGTAGCAGCAGAAATGCTGACTTGAATCAAGTAATGTCACACTGATATAGCACAAAAGTTACTGATATTAAAGATTCAGTGGTATGGTTTATAGTACATACTGTATAATATCCTTATAGACCAAAATGCTGCATTGTGAATTGTTAACCATAACTGGGGAAGACAACAGATAGCTTGAGCAGGTGTTCCCAAAAACAGATTAAGATTAATACCCCTAGAAACATACTTGGTCCTTATCAACAACTTTGCTGAGTGGGTAACATAAAATATTAATCATTTTTTGTAAAATCTGATCCCTGGCTCATATCTAAGACCAACCATAGACATTCCCGAGAAATCCCTCCGTGAAAGGATAGCACAATGTCTGTAGTTGTAAGTGCAATGTGGAAGAAACAGTGAAGTTTATCAGATGTAATATATTCCTTTATAAAGTCTGTTTGATTGTGGTAAACCAATTTAGTCATAGAGGTCTCCAGCCAGCATGAAATCACATTTGGATAAAGCTTGATATCAAGGTATATTAGAAAGACAGGACAATAGCTTGCAAAAATCATACGTCCTTTATCTCTTTTTCTTTCGCAAAATGGGATATATTAATTTAATCATAACTCCAAAAATAACCTTTCACAATACTAGTATAAATCATTTCAAGCCAAAGAGAACCTAGGTGGGACCAAAAATTCAGATAAAATTCAGGAGAAATGCCATCAATGCCAGCTAATTTAATATGTACTGTATGTCCTTAATCACAGCTCAGACAGGGATATAGGCACTTTCAATACAGCCACCTCTGCCTGCAGGAGAAAGACTGTCTTGATTAGCCTAGACTTATTTAAAAGTAAAGTAATACTTCTGCCTCGATTTATGTAATAAAAATTTGCCACTATGTCAAAGCATCTAATTTCATTTTTAACATAGCTAATTTGCAATGCAATAATGTTAGAAAAAGGGAGGTGTTGAGTGTACTCTATAACATCCATGAAATTGTATACATTTCAGTCATTTTTTCTGTTAAGAGGCAAATACAGCGCAATATCCTTAATGGAGATTTTGACTATATCCTACAGAGTGCTGTTACTGCAATTACAAACAAGAAAAACTTCCAATTTAGTGCGGAATTGAATTTGAAACATTTCATTTTGTAATAATGTGGTAATAAAACACCAGCAGGTGGTGTTATTGATTAGTACAAATCAAAAGAAATTGACATGGTGGTCTGATAGCAACATGGGTGGTATCTCAGCATTCTGTTATTACTGTATGTACCACAGAAAAAAAAAGAGTGCAAATCATGCCTCTAGTAAAACATATAGTTCAGTAAGAAAAACACCAAATGTCTACCACACCCAAATCAGACATAAAATTTAGAATAATTAGAAATAAATTTAAAAAATAGTCTGTTTTTTTTTTGTTCAGTGAAGGTGGGCTATCACTATTTTTTATAATGGAAACAAATTAGTGCATGAGTCTGTGGAGATTGCAATGTAAAGTGTTCCTACCTGGAAATGATTAGGACCAAGCCTGGTCCAGATCCCATACAAATTGTATTATTGTTTGCATGAGTATATATACTTGGCATGCAAGGATGCTAAAATTATATTTAGCTTTACATCATGGTCATGATTATCAAAGACCCATGATAATTGATAATTCACATATACAATCAAAAATAATTTATCAAAATTAACAAGTAGCAGTTATCTTGGTAATGAACCAAGATATCATATCATTCATTATCATTATTGTGTGATGAATGTACAGTACTGTATATTATACTGTATGTAAAGTATATACAGTAGCTTGAAGAAGTTCAGGTAGGTAGCTGCGTCAGCATGCATAGGCTGCAAAGGAACAATAGGTTTATTCCATGCTTAAAAGAGAAAAAAGGAAATGCTGTGGAGCCTTATTTGGGTATAAGAAAGATAGAGCAGATAATATAGCATGGGAAAACAAAAGCCAGCAGAGAGGAGTAGGCAGGAGTAGGGGAGATGCAGAGTGGCCAATCAAGTGGTACAAGGTTGACAGAGGTGAGGAGAGGTCTGAAACAAAACCTACAAATGAATAGAGAGAATTAGAATAAAACAAGTCTGTCATTGAGAGAAAGGGGAAGATGTGAACCATGTTTGAAGATAATTTTAGTTTCTAATGTCTTTCTGCTATAGGAGTTAAGAAACCCTACTTTGAGAACGCAGATGGAGAGATCTGTGTGATCATGGCCATCAGAGGTAAAATGAAAAACTATCGGCTTGGAGAAATCTTTAATCTTCACAGTCCTAATGTTCTCTGAAGCAGTCTGTTTCCTTCCTGTTTCCCCAATGTAGATGTCTGGGCATTTACTGCAACAGTATTTTTGTGTTATTTATTGTACAGGTAACAGTAGCAGAAGTTTGCCATCACCTGTGCACCTGTGGTGAAAGCCAAATTATTTATATCTTGGAAAGGAACAAATAATAGGTTTATTCCATGCTGGAAAAAAAGAAGAAAGTAAACACAACGTTTCGGCCGTGGAGCCTTCCTCAGGTGTGAGAAAGACAAAGCAGTAAGCAAAGGTAATGTAGCGGGAGAACAAAGGCTGGGAGAGAGGAGGAGCGAGAGGCGGGAGCAGGGGACAGAAAGAGAGACCAATCAAGAGGTGTGAAATGAAACCTCCAATGAATGGAGAAAATTTAGAGGAAAAGTAGTCTGTCGTTAAGAGAAGGAGGTGTGATCCTAACTGCAGGATAATCTTGGTTTCTGTAGTCTGTATTTTTATCTTGGTCTTGTTGGTACCTTCACTTGTACAGCCTTGAAAACCTGGTCTTACAGAAGCTCTCAGTCAAAGCAGTGTTGCTTCTTTAAACATGTTCCTTTTTGTCCAAGTAATGACCAGCCTACAGCAGTCTCCTTCAACTTTTACTATCTGTCAAGCGTCTGGCTTATGGAAACATTTATCTCTGCACCTGGAATCTCATTAAACTGAGTGTCTATGGGGATTTAGTCAAGAGATTAAGAAAATCTGGTCTGTGCATCATAAAAAGATATACTGAAAAAACATTTTTACCTGGAATCTCAGTATTCAAATATGTCAGTGTGACATGTTGTCAGCAAGTAACCGTTTAGGAAGCTGTTGGCAATTGGTAGTTAGATGAGCTGCAGCTCTGGGCGGTGCTATTTATAGTTTGTCTGACTTCTCTGACTCGCATGAGCTTTCAGACTGCTGTTTGACAGCAAGGGCTCTCTTGGGGGGTGTGATATAAAGAAAATGATTTCTCTTAAAGCTGCTCTTGGTAGAGAACTCTTCCAGATATACCTTGAATGGTGGGGCAGTGTGGTGGCTCTGTTCCTAAGAATCCATAGCCTGTGGCTGGAAGGTTGCCGGTTTGTATCCTGTGACTGGCAGAGGAATCCTACTCTGTTGGGCACCTCGGCAATAATCCTTAACCCCAACTAATCCAGGGACGCAGTATTAATGGCTGACCCTGTGCTCTGACCCCAAGCTTCTCTCCCTGTCTGTGTGTCTCATGGAGAGAAAGTTGGGGTATGTGAAAAGACAAATTCCTAATACAAGAAATTGTATATAGCCAATAAAGTGATGTGTATGTGTGTATTAGAGTGAATGAGTGTTTGTGTTTTATGTAGGCTGACAGCTGCAGTTACCAGCAATGCAGCAGGACTAGACTAGACCGTGAAGTGACTGTAGGCTACAGAGCCCCTCGGGAAATAGAATGTGTGCTGTGATAACACAGGAGAAGAGGCGTGGCCACAGATTAGACACAGCTTTTCAGGAGGTGTTAACAGCATGTTTGTGTGAGAGCATGATGGTGTGCAGAGTGGTAGATAGAGAAGACCTACAGTCTTCGCCATAAGTCTTTTTAAACTTGTAGCTCTGTGTATTGTAACGCTACGGGGTTCACATAGGAGCCCTCGTTGCTGCCGCCTCAGGTCGGCCCCCCACCATCAGACACTCACTTGAGCCAAAGGGAAATCTCCCATCAGCCCAGCAGCTGTGGTCCCTCCTATTCACAAGGCAGGGCAATGGAGGCCATATGCGTTACAATATTCTTTTTTCTTTTATTTGGATTTTGGGCCTTTTTGTACAGTCTGTAAAAAATTATTTTACCTCTGACTTTTATTTTAAATTCCATTTAACCTTTTACTTGTTTTAATTTTTTTTTTGCTGATCCTTTAACGTTATTATGTTTTTACAATACACCCATACTCCTCTTGGTGCTCAATCAGTCTGTTCCCAGTTACAAAACTATGTATTCAGCATTAAAAAATGCTTAAAATGTTTACAAACCACAAATTCAGATGTGAGAGAGGTAAAATCATCATGTCAATTAATGTTTGTCAACAGCAGGGCATCTACTATGAAACTCACATCCTAATGTGTCTGTGTCCAACACTGGATGCAATACAAGCTGCATAACTTCTGCACATGCTTTGCCTCAGAACACAGATGATGTTACAGATGCTATGAAATTCGATCCCATTTCTCTTGTAGGGCCTTAACAAGCATGCATTCTTTTCACCGTTTTCTACAACTATTTAGCATGAGGTTGGTTTTAAGTTTGATTTAGAGCAACTACTGGTCCTTTTTGCAGTGTCTGTAGGTTTTTTTTTTTGTTCCAGCTCATCTTTAATAACTTAAAGTAGCTCTTTATTGGCTTAAATTAACCAGGCCTCAACCACCTCTCAAGAATAAGGATTGCATACCTTTGTATTATTCTTTAGTACAGTGTATTGAACCTAAAAATACACTTCCAGCTGTATACAATTATTTAATACTTTGTTTATAACATTTTATTGACTATATTTTGTTTCTAGGAAGCCTTTGGCAACTATTGTTTTTTGGCTTTTGCCATCATCTGCCTGGGTGGAGCAATTTATCTCTACATCATCCTACCTGAAACAAAGAATAAAACCTTTGTGGAAATCAGTCAGTGCTTCTCCAAGATCAACAAAGTCTCATTTTGCTCACCTGCAGAGGAGGAAATGCAATGTATCCCCGCAGTAAAAATGATGGAAAAGGAGGAACAGACTGGGACTCTGAATGAAGATGGCAAGAATGGAATTGAAACTGAAAGCTCCTTTTGATAGATTACCTAATTGAAAAGGCCTACAGTATTTTAAATTGATTATTTCATGTTACACGAACAATCCGCTCTTAATGTTTGGAAATGACTGTAAGAAGACTCTTATAAACAATAAACTTGTGAAGAACAAATTGTTAACAACTTGCCACTTGCTTATTTTCTCATTATTTAACATTAAAATATAAACATAAAGCATATAACATATAACATTAAAAGCATATAAAACATACATTTAAAATAATAATTGGGTTCATGGTTTCCCATGACAAATACCAAATACAAAATACACAAAATAATACAACTGTCACACCCTCTGCAGCCAGAGAGCGCTCCTACTCTGTCCTGTCCCTAGTTTCCTGTGCTTTGCTTTCCTTCCGGTGTCTCTCTCTGGGGCTATATATTTCCGGGTCACTCATTCACCTTCACTCAGCATTGACATTCAGATGTCCTGAGACCCACCTAGCATCAAGGTCACCCCACTTCAGCTGCCTGAGGGCATTGGTTTCTACACGACTCCTGAACTGCTGAGTCTGGGCTATTCCCCCGCTCCACCGTTACACATATGGGTCTTTTTCCGCTCTCCTGCCTGTCCATGTTTCATCCCTTCTGACATCTGTGACAACAACATGCTGATTTTTTTCTGAATTAAATAAACTGCTATAACCAAACCACATTTGCCACCTTTTCTTCCAACCTACCAAGTAATCAACCCATTAGATATAGATATAGATAATACTTTATTAATCCCGTAGGGAAATTGATGAATTCCATTATTTTTGCAATAATGACTATGTACTCTGTTTAGCACATGCATTTTTATTCATCTTACATTTGCATAATACAAAAAAACCTTAATCGAACCAGAGAACAAGGAAGAGAAGCACAGACTAAGTGGGGCATGACACAGAATGACCCCTGGACCCTGGAGTTACAAGTACCATGTGCAAAACATCTGATCCATTTAGTTTGCCATCTGAATACTACACATTATTGTTCATCTTTAATCTTTTAAGTTGGATGCACCTCATCCTTAAAAATTAGACATTCATATTTTATCTGATACTCTCCTCTCTCACATTCTGTGAGTGAATAATCAGAAGCAACACACTCTGAGACTCATCAGCTGATAAGCTACTGCCTTTGAATTAAGTCTTCAACAGGAATTCAAGGTTAGCTGGCGTACTCAATCTTTCAGGCACCCCAACAGGTACATTCTGTATAATACAAATTCAAATCAGGCAACATGGATCGCTAGACAGTCCTCAGAACTTGGAGAAACTCTTGTCTAAAAAGTTACATACTCTCCATAAAAAAATTGCTATTCACTTTTCACAGCTTGTTTTCATTCACATTCCTTGGGTCAGAAGAATCATAATAATCTTTCATAAAATGATAAAATCTTATACTGGATGATTCTGTAATATTCTTTATGTGTAAATTAATGTTTTCATAAATAAAATTCACTTCTGTGCTTGAAACACAAATAGAGCTGAGGACAACATAGTGTAAAAGGAAATTAAGTGGAATTAATTTGAAGACAACAGAAAGGAGCTTCCCTATAGAGAGGGTTGTTGGTAGAGTGACCAAACTGTCAAATCCAGCTGAGTCACTGGGATCATTCAGTGAGGTTCTGGATCATTAAGCTAGATGAGCAAAATGAGCTGAATGACTACCTCTCATCTATAACCTCTATTATGTTCTCATTTTCATTAATTCTTGGTTTTTGCCTTTTTGCACTGACTGAATCTGAAATACCATGCACACTCCCATATAACAGAGAATTGCCATCCTCATTACTCATCGTCTGAACACAAATAAGAACACATTTTTTTTAGTGACTTGCTAATAAAAATTACAAACAAAATGAGACCTCTATTATAACATTTCGGTGTTCTGAGTGTCTTAAGCACTTTATGCACTTTGAGACAAAAAAGGAACAAAAAAGGTTTTTGTTTGTTTTGGGGAAAAAAATAGAGATTGAATCTAGAACAGGTTGTTTCCCTGTGTCAAATTCAACAATTGCTATTTGAGATAATATACAGTGTGAATTAATCCATTCAATTTCTTGGGGTGTATTCTGTTAACATGAACAACATGAGTGCTTGACCACACAAGTGACATGTTAAACTGTGTTCATAAAACTTTTGACACAACAGTTCCTGAACAGATTTCCTGATATGCATGTCAGAGCATGGACTTGAACACATCTAAGAACCTAGGAGGGTCTGTTTTTATTTTTTATTTATAAAATCAGAATAAATCATCAACCTGCAACAAGCATAAAACTAACATTGAGTAATGGTAGTCCACACACACACACACTAAAAAAGGAAAGGAGGATGATTAAACAACTTATTTAGAAAAACCTATTGATCATGCAATAAATCTTTTTAAAAACTGCACCGTAATCATGCTTTTTTGCCTAGTGAAAAAATCTTTAAATTAGCACATCCATCTGTAATTTCAACCTCTACAGCCTCTACCCAAAACTTTAAGATACTGCAGTTTAAGTTGCAAAACGTGTTACACCTCACAGCAAAAGTCTTTATTTCTGATCACTGCTACAAACTTGAGAAGCAGGAGTTATACAGCACAGCAACACTAGTCACAGCCAAATGCACATTATTCATCTTCAAAAGTGCTCTATTATGAGACTATACTGCATCTGTGACATTGTCATCTGCAACCAAAAGTATGATGCAGCTGCTATTCTATGTGCAAATTTAAATATATTTAATCTTTCTGTTAGAGAACTAGGAGGCATTATCATTGAAAAGGTCAATTTTGAGATCATCCAGTTTTGACAAGTTTTTATTCAGTATAAAAGGGAAAAGAAAAGGATCTGATTTTAGATAACAGATGTAAATCAAATAATCACCCCTTGTGGTGACTGTTGAAGCAAATACATGAGTTTCTGGGTGAAAGGAAAAAGCACTGCACAATGGCACCTGCAGACATAAAAGAAATAAGCAGAGCCTGAAGCACATAAAATAGGAAACTCCCAAGGATTTTCCGTTTGATAAGAGTAAATTAGCTTTTGATTACGAACCACAGACAGACCTTTGTAATGAAAGAAGTCACCATGCTGACTGACCTGGGTGGGTATGTAAAGGGCGGAGAACATCATCAACTTGTTTCATCTTAGTTATTCCAGATGAAAGATTTTGAAATTACACGTTTCCATTTAAAAAAAAGGTTGGGAATCTGTTATTTATTTATATAAATATAGTTTTATCCATATGGAAACATTTGAAGGATCATGTAATCTAGGTTAAGGTTAACGTTATTGCATAGCTGCAACTGAAAATAAAATGTTTAAATTTCTCCAGACACACTTCATCTTGCAGAATATTATAAATTTCAATTTAGTGCTTGCTAAATGTGCCCTATCCTTCACATGGCCTGTATTCGTTATAACCCTGGTCGCATTTAAACAAGCACCCTCATAAAGATCCATTCATCCATTATTTCTGCTTAATGTACGCTATGTATTGATATTTGTTAACTCCTTCCTGTAAATTAATCATGTAAAACTAATAAATATGTCACCAATCCTATGAGCTGTTGTACAGCACAATAGTTGTCTATATGAAGGTGAGCTTGTATCCTTTCCTTTTGAAGCATTGTCAATTTATTCAAACAGTTACTCAGTAAGTTAATGTATACATACAGTACAACTTTCGAACAGAGAACAAATTCATGTTGGGTCATATTCATTGTTCGTTTATTTCTGATTGCTAAGTTTTAGTTAAAGGTGGTACCACTTAAAGAGATTAGCGAGAAGTCCGATGGTGGTGGTTTACTTTGCCATAGAAATGTTTAACTTTAGCCCAGTTAGGTTAGTTCCTCGCAGGAATCCAGAGGTAGCAGATTGTTATGTTTTTTCTTTAAGTTTAACTTGATTTTTTCATTTTTTCTTGACCTATAATCTCAGCATTTTACACAGCTTTGTTATCTGTTTCACCAAAACATTTCCTGTCATCTCATGTTTAACAAAAGCAATGATTCTTTTCTTAGATCTCAGAGACTGGAATATCAATGTATGGGTCAATTAATTGAGAGTCTCAATTAACGGGTCACAGGTATATCTGCGTTTGAGGTATATTGTTGATATTGTTGATATTTTTATCAAAAAAAGTCAATTAAAAGATTAAATGAAAAATAATTATTTAAAGAGTACATAACACATATGGGAACATGTGAACAGTTGTTTCATAATGGATAACAGCAACCATATATGATAGATATAAAATATAACATATACATATTCATGCAAGGAATATTAATTAATATTAATTTACAAGAAACATACTGACTTATAAGACTATAGTGTGAATCTCTGTAAAATTGCCAGTTAATGTATAATCTGTAGGGTACTGTAGTTGACAACACAATGTGCAACAAGGTAGCTCTTAGGTTCATCCACACAGAAGCAGTCATTACCAAAAACTGCCAAATTGAAATTCACAACCTTCCAGCAGAACAATTGCACCATTCTTCTATCACAATGCTCTAAATGACAGCACTATACTTGATAGAGGTAAAGCACTGATAGATTACTTAATTCTTAAAGTTAAATTACCAATTGGTAATATGTTCGTTGAAATGGTGCACTTTATAAAAGTAAAAAGACGTGGCAAATTGCTTTACAGTTCATGTTCTGAAGGAAGGCAATGCATGGTCCTCATAAGAAAATTATACATGTACTAAGAAACCCACCCAGTGGACTTCAACAATGAAAAATAACTCAAGAGCATAACTGTAAATAATCAAAAATCAGAATTAAGTGTTTTTCGGACAGAAAATGGAAACCACTTAATTACAAAAAGGTTTACTGATGTCTGAAGCAAGATATCCAGAGATATCCAGACTGGAGATACACATTCTCTGGGATTTTCCCAGAAAAAGATGGATAAGATCTTCAGATCAATAAGTTACTAGGAACCAAACAAGCAGGATGGGCCAAATGGCTTCTTAACCTTTATAAAAGACTGCCTGTACTGTGTCACGGGATTAAATGCATAACGAGGCTAGGCGCTCCGAGCCCTGGACCCCGAGGTCAGGACCCCGTGCTGAAACCTATGCTGTCGGGTCACTCCTGGACCCGGTGGTAGGCGGGCTTCCGGGTGT